AAAAAATTAATAGCTGAGATATGAGATCTGTGCTTGAAAATCCACTCTTGAATAACACCACAAGGATGGAAAATTGAAATATTAAGGGCTAGGCAAGTCTGTTGATTAATCAACAATGGAACCATCTGAATTTTTAAGCGTGGTTTGTAATAATTTCAGATAAAGAATAATCAGCTCAGCCACCTTAGACATAAAATATCGAGGGTTTGACATGGCCAACTTATATGACAATCCATTTGACTTGTTTGGTCTTTTTATGTTTATTTCAACAAAAAAAAAAAAAAGAAAATGATAATCTTAAGACTGGTAATTTAGCCAAAACAGTAAAATAGCAGCAATACTCTCGGTAGATTCCCTAGGTTAGTATAGTAGAACCATCAATCACAAAAACAAAAAAACAATAGATTTCCATCGATCAACAATGCATAGAAAATGAAAGAGAGAATGTGTTACCTCAAGCCAAAATCCCCTGTTTTGTTGTTTGCGATGACCTGAAGCAAAAAAATAAAGGGTAAAATACAAAAGCCTCCCCTATAATTTCATTTTAGCAAAAATTTTTCATCTATTTTTGATAAAATTAACAAATACCTCCCTTTCGTCAATGATCAAGATGAAAAACGTTAAAGAGATGATATTTTTTTTTCAAAATACCTATTTTACCCTTTCTCGAACACTATTCATCTTCTTCCTCGTTTGAACCTCAAAGTAGAGGCAGTGGCAACACCCCTCTAAATCCGATCTCTCTCTCTGACCTCTGACCTCTGACCTCTCGCTTTATTTTATGTTTTTTGTTCTAATCGATTAATTAAGGCACCGATATCTTTATATATACACCCTTCTATTCCTTCCATCCCCCATCCTCTCCAGTTCACAGAGAGAGATATCTATTGTCTAGCTTTAGAGTTTATTAGAACCACTAGGCTCAGTGACCAATTCGCCATGGAAGGAGTGGGAGCTCAAGTCATCGAAAATGGTGGTGCCGGTGAAGGAAGTGGCATTCAGGCCTAGTAGAGTCGAAGATTGCCTGATTTCTTACAAAGCGTGAATGTTAAATATGTGAAGCTGGGGTATCATTACTTTATGAAATATCTGGTCACTTTCTCTCTTGTTCTGGTGATGGCTGTGACCCTGGTCTAGGCGTCGTAGTTGAGCTCAGAGGATATCCTTGAACTATCACATCAGCTTGAGAACAATTTGGTGAGTGTCGCAATTTGCTCTGCACTGCTTGTATTGGGTGCTACCGTCTATTTCTTGTCGCGACCATGCCCCGTGTATCTAGTGGACTTTTCTTGCTACCTCCCTCCCTCAGACCTGAGGGTTAACTTCAAGGATTTCATGGAACACTCAAGGCTCATTGGGGACTTCAATGAGTCTTCGCTCGAGTTCCAATGCAAGATCCTCGAGCGCTCCGGACTCGGCGAGGAGACGCACGTCCTTGACGCGATGCGCTACATTCCTCCACGGTCGGCAATGGCTAGCGCTAGGGAGGAATCCGAGTAGGTCATGTTTGGTGCTCTAGAAAACCTCTTCTCCAATAGCTCCATGAAGCCAAAGGGCATTGGTATACTACTCGTGAACTGTAGCTTGTTCAATCCGACCCCTTCACTATCCACCATGATTATCAACAAGTACAAGCTAAGAGGTAACATTAGGAGCTTTAATTTGGGCGGAATGGAATGTAGTGCGGGAGTGATCGCCATCGACTTGGCCAAGGACATTCTCCAGGTTCACCGCAACACTTATGTCGTCGTCAGCACTGAGAACATCACCTAGAACAAGTACTTCGAGAACAAGAAATCATCATCCCGAAGAAGATGAGAGAGGAAGAGATCGGATTTAGAGGGGTGCCGCCGTTGCCTCTGCTTCTGGGTTGGAATGGGGAAGAAGATGAATAGTGTTCGAGAAAGGGTAAAATAGGTATTTTGAAAAAATGTCATCTCTTTAACATTTTCCGTCTTGGTCATTGACGGAAGGGAGGTATTTGTTAAATTTGCCAAAAATAAAGGAGAGGTTTTTACTAAAATGAAACTATAGGGGAAATTTTTATGATTGTTAGAAACTTCAAGAGAGGTTTTTGTATTTTACCCAAAAATAAAAAATAACAACAAAAAAATAGCAGATCTGAGATCAATATAAGAAAAAAATGGTTTGAATCAAAAGCTGGACACAAAAGCTTGTTAGAGTTTATTTGAACGCCACATCTCATGTTAATGTCTAGTGATAGGAGGAACTCCGGATCTTCACGTTAATGTTCAGTGATAAGAGGAACTCCAGATTAAGAACGAACATATGCCAAAGTCAGATCTGGAGCTCCGATGAACGAACTCAAATGGCCGTCTGTAAAGGAAAAAGAGTAGATCAAACATGCCAGAAGCCAGATTTGGACAACCAAGTATGGAGGGAGCTGACAGTGAGATTTGGAGGGGAACCCATCCAATGGAACAAGACAAAAATGGTATAAAATGAATGGAAATGATGAGAGAATGTCATAGCGAAACTTACCATTCGACGAAAACACCAGAGATGTTACCGTTGGACGGCTCGAAGGAAGGAGACGAGGTCTGATCAGATAGCTCTCAATAATATTTTCTCACCACTTGCTTATTTTTTCTTTCCTCAGCGGGGTCTCACCATATTGATTTTTGGGAACCCACATCCCATATGTTTCTCTTCCTTTCTCAGGTTTTCCTTTGAAATAAGCGCACACAAAAGAAAATATTCTCTAAAAATGTTTCCCTTTCTATGTGTTTCTCAACAACCAAATGGATCAACAAAAAATAAGGAAGAAAGCTGAGAGAAAGTTCTTAAAGAATCTTTTAAGTCTCTCTTATTTTCAATCAAACCAAGTACAACTTTTGGGGCTTAGATCAGATTGGTAATCCATAATGAGGCAATCTTGTACTGGGTGGGCTATAAAAGATACCTACAGGAAAAATAAAGTAAATGCTATTTTCTTGGCCCGGAGAATAACTAGAAAATTAAAATTAAAGATAACAAAGGATGTTCATTTTGCCAAGACAAAGACAAGCTAAGGAATTAGTGGTGCAAGTTGGGCCGATTAGGTCGGGTTGATGTCAATTTTAGCCAAACGCAAGCTTTTTGTTTGTCTTGAACCCAGCCAAGTTGCTGAACTCTCAACTTTAAGCCCTAACCCTAACCCAATCCAAATAATAATGGGTTTGGGGCGGTTGTTCTATTTCTTTCCTTTCGCTTTTAAAGAAGAAATGCTCTTATTTGTCAGACCTACAATTAGCTATCAAAGTTGACGCAGCGTGGAAGCAATGAGAACCGGAGCTGGCTATGCAAGCACTGGGCGTTCGCTAGCACTTAGCAAATAACACCGATTTCTCTAGGAGTGAGAAAAGGTGACGAAAATAGGAAGAAGAGAACTTGAAGAAATTCTGAAATCTGAAGTATGAATTGATGAATAACTTTGGGAAAATAGCAGTATTTATAATACATTTGGAAATTGTAAAAGAACTAGGAAATAATAACTAGGATAGATATCAAAACATCTAATTTGCTAGGATTCTTCTTGACTTGATCTCCATCGTCCGATCTCCCTGGATCTTATCCATGCATGAGTTATCCTAATCTTGGTATGAATCTTAGATTATCTTGAACTCTTGGTTTCTTGGATGATCTTGGATTCTTGAATTCTTGATTTTTCTTGAATTCTTGATTTATCTTGAATTCTTGATGTATCTTGGACTTTTTAATTCTTGATGTATCTTGGACTCTTGAATTATCTTGGATTTTTTGAGTACTTTGGCTTATCTTGAATTCTTCGTATGAGTTGTCGCCCATATGATGAAATGGGCCTCCTTGATGAGATGGGCCTCCATCAAAAGTTGATTAACTTTAGCATCTTTTCATTGTTTATTTTGGTAAAAGGTTTAAGTAAAATTTTGGGGTCTCTATTATCTTATTACCAAAATGAGGATCACATTCTCTTAGAACTGAATTGTAATTTTGGCAGCATCTATATATGTTTGTGTCTCTCTCCTTTCAAGACCCAGTCTGTGTTGTCAACTTGTCATAAGGGTATAAATCAGGTACCCATTTCAAAGAATTTACAATGCATTAGGCCCATAAGTCTGATACGAAGGTAGAGTTGTATTGGGAAGTACCAATAGTTTTATTTATTTATTTAAGTTTTTTTCTTTTTTTTAAGGTCCATCCACCCCCTGAATCAGTCAAAATCCCGATAGGGATGTATCGAAAAGCTCCTGATATGATATGTATCAACTGATACGTATCGATACTTTGAAGTTTGAATCTTGATCAGGCCCAAACTCTTACGCCTTGACCCATCAAATTTTAAGGAATACTCAAACCTAAGCCCACCCAAGTTGTAGTTGCACCCTTAATTGTAATGCTTCTCCCATTTCAACTCTCAACTCTGAGGTTGCCTATCGGTCATTATCACATATGTGGAATAACAATAAAGCTATTGAGGGGTCCTCAAACAAATCTCGATGTGAAAGCGTTTGAATAGATGTGAAATAATGCATGGAAGTGAACCATCCACTTGAATTTCAGATCAAACGCTCACCAACCATTTAAGAACTAGGAAATGAGGTAGAATCAAATTCACCTGCAAGGTTAGCGACCAAAATCTGTGTGTCAAAGTGGAGAAAACCACTCAACTCTCAACTGTCAAGAATATATGCAAATCTGCCCACATAACCCCGGCCCGACATGTCTATCAGCATCAACTACCTTTATTTAGTCAATTTCAATAGAACCTTCTTCAATAACACAGCTCGTTAGCTAGTAATCCAATGGCTAAACCAAGATTGACTAGCTGAAGATGAGATTGCCAGGGGAAACGAATGAAAAAGAAGAAGCGCTACGATTTCTCAAAACTTGGAACGAAACTGTCCAAGTTCATGGAAGGTATATTCTCAGCCAGTCAGTAATGTAGTTGACTGGGATGGGAATACTTTTCACACTTCACAAGAATATAAATATATATCCTTCACAACAAGGAATTCATCATTCATTCAAAGATCACACCACATGCATTCTACTAATCTCTACTCCAACTCTATCTCTCCACTTATATAGCATTGAGGTAGGTAGCGAGGAGACTCACTGACTCACCATTTGCTTCTCCTCTCGGCTCTCGATCCGAGCGTGGAGCGTGAGTAGAAGAAACCAGACCAAAGGCGGTGTCTAGCTAGACTCTTTGAGTTTCACAGAAGTAAGCAAGCCAAAACCAAATCAAACTTCTCTTCTAGTTCAAACCCTCCACCTTTTTCTTTGTTTGTTTGTTTGTTTGTTTTTTTATTTGTTTATTTATTTATCTTCATAGGGTTGCTTTGAGTTGAGTCAACTCTTTGTTTGAATGTCTTCTCATCTTTCCTTCCATGATGACTTGCTTTTTCCGGCTCCATTCTCCGACATGGTTTCCCCGGAAGTGGACTTACAGTTCCTATCGGAGCCTTTCTTCCCTTTCACTGATCCAACCTCTGATATCCTCCACTCCTCCGACGACCCAGACCTTCAATTTCCAGCCCACCCATCTCCCTCTGCTAACCAAAGTGTCACTAATATCCTCTCCTGCTCCCCTCCAAGCCTGCAGCTGGACAATTTATCTCTAAGCCCCACTATGCAATTGCAGCCTGTACCCACTGTAGAGTATTCAGCACATGGGAATACGGGGTCTTCAGCTAGCGATGTGTTGGGAATTAAATCGGGAGAGTGTTATGTGGGTTTTGATAATTTGGATGACTCTTCTCCTTTTGCTCACAGTAATGCTACTGTGAGGGGAACTGGGATTATACAGAGGAGCTTCAGTAGCCAATATCTAGACCTAAAACCGAGATTTATCTACCAACCTCCCTTCAATTCTCTCGTGGAAAACCCAAATTCCGAAATCCAGTTTGTGGCTGTGGGTTCGCCTGAAAACAATAAATTATCTATACCCATGAGGAGGGTTTGCAGTACTGGCGATTTACAAGTTAGTAACATTATCCTCATCTTTTAAGCTTATTTCCTCTGTTTTTGTTACATGCCTTCTTGTCAAACCTAACTGAATTGTTTGGGGATTTTTTTTTTTCTCTTACTATTACTATGTCCAGAGAATCAATGGGACGCAAGTAACCCATGGGTTATCCTCAAGCCCCTTGGGCACTGAGAATTCGTTCATGGAGGAAGCTAGTTTGAAGGTTGGACGTTACAGTGCAGAAGAAAGAAAACAGAGGATTCTCAGGTACAGAAGCAAGCGCACCCAACGAAATTTCAACAAGACAATAAAGGTATAAAAAATTGAAAAATCCATTTCTTACTTTAATCTAGAATCAATAAAAAAACCAAAACTTGAACAAAAACGAAGTAGTGAATGTGATGTTAATCTGAATAAAGACGGGTTCCTACTCTGCCCTTCTCTGACCAGTATGCATGCCGAAAGACGCTAGCCGACAGTAGACCTAGAGTACGTGGAAGATTCGCCCGTAACGATGAAACTGGAGAGATTCCCAAAGTTACAGGGCTCAACCGAGATGAAGAAGACGATGACGAGCTTTGGGTAAATTCCTCACTTCAATTTTCACAGTTTCACTCTCCTCCATTCTCTCTCTCTCTCTCTCCCCCTAACTTTCATTGAATGAATAGTAATATTAGTTATCGTTTTGTTAATTGTTCGGTAGATTGTTGGGTTCCAAGAAGATGAAGAGACGATGATGAGCGGCGGTTTCCTCAGTCCCACTACCCAGTTTCAGTACCACGGCTTCTGAAATCTGATAGTTGGGAGAAGATCCCTTTTTAAGTTTCTCTTGCACGGCTATCCGTCTATCCATTTTCCTCTCTCTCTCTCTATATATATATATAGATAATTAGATATATAATATGAAGCTCTAGTAAATTATGCCCAGAAGAGGCCTTTGGAGCGATGCAATGTGAAGCTCGGCTCAAATAATTTTAGTCTGGACTCTGGAGTTGGGGGTAAAAGTGTGGCAGGAGAGTATTAGCTATTAGCTACTAGCTAGCTCTAAGTCAGTTACTTGGAATTCACCGCGAAAATAAGGACCCTACTACACCCAGTGCATTTCCATTTTATCACCTTGCCTGCTGTAATATATACCATCACATCACATCACATCATTGCCATTTGTCAATGTGTTGAAATGTTATATTTGTATGCCATTTGGCAGGAAAATGTACCTTTGAAAACCAGGTTCTCCTCTTTTTGTAAATTATATGTGAATTATTACTTGTGAATAATTTGCGATTGCAATGTTTGGGGATTTTTTTTCTCTTCTGTTTGGCGATTACATCTGCAAATGTGTAGTTACAGCAATGTTAAAGTAGTACCACTTTTTTGTTTTTTTTTGGCCATTGTTCACTTCATCATTGTAACGCTATGTGTAACATGAAACATCCATGTTACTAAATGTATAATGGTTAGTTTGGGTTATTGTACCAGTGCAATTTCTTTTTTACACGGTGCAAACTGGGTACGACTTTAAGACTAATTATATATAAAACATTCACTCACAGTCATGGCCACCATCTTTCCCATACTATTTGCTTTTTGATTTGTTTGTTTTTAATTTAATGATTGGTATGATGCCATGGAAGATTCTCTCAAGGTTGACAGCTTCCTATGTAATGGGTCGGAAAGATGAAACATGTTTGGAAGCTCAATTCCATTTCTTTTTTTCTTTTTTTTTAATGTTTGTTCTCTGTCCTACATGTCTTTGGACATCTGGATGTTGGAAAGAGTAGCTTGGGTCCCAGAGGAAATATGCTACGATTATTAAGTGTTGCTGCTAGCTGTGGAACTTTTAGCAATTCTACAAGCTACACAAATGCCCCCCAAACCAATTAATGGGCCTTTGCATCTCTAAATGATATTGGGCTATTTATCAACTCTCTTTTCTTTCTGGGTTTGGGACCCGCAGTGCGAGACAAACTAGCACTAGCAGAGCTAAGGTGTTTCTATAAACTGATTAGCCAATGTTTACAAGGATTATTTAAAAATCTGTTTTTCTGATTCTATTATTGTAAATGGTACTACTATTTACAATTGATATTGATTGATGAAAGGGGTGAAATTTTAAATATGCAACTCATTCCATAGGACAAAATAGATAGAAACAACACCCCTAATTAAAATCTATTTAAGACAAGCCCTGTATTTGCTTCACAACTACTAGATATACACCATGAACAGTGAACAGAAACAGTTTAAAAACTATACGTTGTGGTAGTTGCAGAGGATATGTGTACGACTGGAGACATGACATGTGGCGGTAATCTACAATTCAGTAATCAGTACATAATTCCACTTGAACGAGAGAGAGAGAGAGAGAGAAACGTCTTATGCTGCTAGCACTAGTGGAGATATCTGTTTTTAATTGGGGCCCTTCAATCTCCCAGCATGCGTGAATGCTTGCACCAGCCCATTTTTTACTGCTAATAGCCCAATTTGATAATATTCCCAAGCCTCAATTTTAAAGATAGAATGCAAAACTTGGTATTTATTCCATCGATGAGCTTCAATGAGTTAAAGAATGGCCTGCACTCTGTCTTTGTTCGACACTTTTGACTGAACCCATAAAGTGAAAAAACTTTGTTTTGGTTTGGAAGGGTCATACTTCTATCCCCGGTTTCATGACTTCAACATCACAACATTTTCCATTGTCCCTCTCATGTCTCAAGGAACCATTCAACCTAAAAGTTTAGTCTGTTAGAGGTCCCGGACTAGGTTTTCATTCTCTAACAGTCTCTCCCTCTTCTAATTAATTAATGCACACATATATATAGAAAACCAATTCAAATATCTGAATGACTCTGGTGGGAATTAAGGAGCTAGCATTGCCCAGATACCACTCTGATGGGAAGGAAGGCTTTGAGCTTCTATGTTACAGAGATGAATCGGTTATCAAATACCATCTATGATATGATGGATGCAGTCAGTTCAAGCTGAGAATCGTAGGAAAAACCTTCGGCAAGCTAGCATCTTCAATCCAGAGGATCATTAACATTGATTTGACCAAATGCCTTCTTTATCAAAGCTTAAAACACTTGAGGGACACAACCTATATCGATCAATCCGTCATAAAACCCCAGTGAGAAGCAACAAGCATCTTAGCATATGTTAATAAGGGTCATAAACAACGGACGATTGCAAAGATGGAATCTCCTTTGCCTTTCAAGTTGTTCATTTCCCAGCACTTTCTGGTGGTCTTCATACCCCATCATTTCCTTTCAGTATGTGTTGTTGCTGCCCAGAAACCAATCTTCCTCTTGTCACGAATGAGAGAGAGAGAGAGAGAGGCAACCAACTTAATGGAGAGAGCAGAAAAAACACGGAGAAGGCTTATTAAAATGAACCAGCAATGATTCCCAAGGCTCTTTTTGACTATCATGAGCTTTATTATTGTTATTACTAAAAAAAATACTAAATAACCACTTCATGGTTCTGTATGTTATTTCACTTTATGAAAATCAAAAACTAAATCCACAGGCTTCGTTGAAACACTTCCCCAAGACCATAATAGTGAAAGAAAAAGAAAAATCAATGAAGAAAATGGAACAATACAATGAGATCAACTGGTAAGTATTATGATGTTTCTACGCGCTCTCATTTTGATTCCATCAACAAAAAGGGTGGTTGTTAGTTAATCAAAAATTCAATGTTGTTCCACATTCTTTTTATATTCATCAATTAATTACTCTATGTTCAGCGAGGTATATGATTGTGAATCGGACTGACTAACTTGCGCTATTACTAAATTATATCCATTCGAAGAACTGGAAAGAACAAAACATTACAGGTTACAGGTTAAGAAGAACAAAGTCAGGAACTCTGAAGAAATAGTATCTAATTTTATTTATTTTCCCTTCCAACAAGGGAAGTGGAAGGATTAAAAAGCATATAATAATGTGCATACAAGTTAGTAAAAGAATTGGCTAGATGAGTTGCCGTGGTTGGTGCAGCTGGTCATATATCCTTTGCTGTGTATAATTAATAATTCGGATTGTCTCCTCCACTACTTGGGTGTTGGGTGGTTGTCGTCCATGTCAAGTAAGAGAGTTGGTAACTGGCTTTGTATCATCTCTCTCCCTCCCTATCTCCTACTTCTCCTGTTCAGTGATGAATTGTTTTATGGTTCTCTGCTTTTGCTTTTCTAAAAGCAAAATAACCGGTGGTAGATGAGATTTTGTTCTGGGGTTCAATTATATCACATATATAAAAGCTAGCCGAGGATTGTTGGCATAAGGACTAGGGGCTGGGAGGAGTGTGCTAACCTTGCGAAAGCAGCGTGTATTACTGCTCGGAACAAGAAAAGTTATTCAATTCTCTGTAAATAATCTCAAGTGCCAACTTTTGTTTAAAGCTAAAAGTGAAACGCACATGGATGATGGTATGGAAGAGAGAGAGAGAGATGTGCTTAAAAGCAGTCAAAACGCTCAAATTCCTGGGTCTTCTAAGGTCAAGGATACCTTCCTCGTGTGGGGAATCATATTATCTGTTATGTTTCTCCTCTTCACTCTACAAATCGGCAAAGAGAAGGGATTCAGAGAAGAAAAGCAGCAGAAGAACAAGACTACAAGAGGAGAAAAGAAAACTTTTACTGGGTGCAACTTTTAGTTTGCAAGGGGATCGGTGGCAACGCGTAAGTATCATCTATCATCTATCAACTATCATATACAGTGATGAATTGAAGATCTTCCAATATTAAGTTTGAAGAGTAGGGACACCTCCATCACATTAGCTTTTCTACACATGGCAGGCAACCCCTTAACTACTACGTACACTCGCACATCTCAAACACAGTTCGTACTTATATGTTGTCATTGATGGGCTGTACATGTGAGATGTACGATTGTAGCATCTTGTGGGTATAGAATGTATAGTGGGGGACGGTTCAATTAAAAAGAGTCAAGAAAGCAGCAAGATTCTGAGGCTGAACCTGCTCGATCAGCGCAATGTGTTTGAGTGGCAGACACCTTCTAATTTGTTGTAGCTCGTAGGGGTCAGCATCCCTAGTTAGCTACTTCTTATGTCTCGTACCACATGATGATATATATATATATATATATATATATGAATGAGTGTGTGAGATATTATTAGAGAAACAATCTAATTAATGCATCAAAGGGGATGATGTCCTACGTACTAGCTAGCGCATTCAACAAACATGTGGGCGGCATATCTTCTCAGTTTGCCTCAACACCACTAGAATTTGTGAGGATCTATCTCCAGTCTCCACATATAATCCATTATCCATACCTCTGTCAGGAACAAGAATTTTATTTTGGGTCGACCCCATTTACAGGAAACCACAAAATACAAAGTGAGATGAAAGCTGGGCTTCCACAAACAGTTACCTGCACAGACCCACATAGCCTTTTTTATAGAAAAGAAAATCCATCTTCACTAGCACCCCACTACAGCCCAGAGCCCATCATCCCCCTTAGTCATTTCCCCTACACAGGCATGGGGATGGCTAGCTACCACCACCAAGTAGTCCACCGCTTCCACCTTTACACACGACTAATTAAGCTCTAAGTTGTTCATAAATAAACAAAGCAACATAGCTTGCGCTTGATGGTTTTCGGATTAAATTATTTGTAGCATTGGAACAATGCTACCCTAGATACTGCAATGAAACGCACCGAAAGGTCTTTTAGTAGACAGTTAATTGAAGAGGTGAATGAATCTCTTTTGCCTTAGTGAGAAAGAATAATTAAGAAACTTGCAAACATGCATCTGTTTGTTTCTTTTTTGGCAAAACAAAAGAGCAACTACATATATTAACCCCCCCCCCCCTCCTTTAGTTTAGTGTGTAGAGTTTATCATGGCTTAACCTAGTTTGTTATAATTTACTGGGTATATATATGTAAGTTGTCAAAAAAGTTTTTCAGCCACACAGTATATGCTTTGCTCAATGCCAAGGAACGTCACTGCGAACCCCATTTAGGACTTGACTAAGTATAGCTGAGAATATGATCACACTAGTTAAAGCTTGAAAGACAAAGATTAAAAGAATGGGTCGAATTTCACTATGATGAATGGACATAGCTGAATATTTATATAGAAAAAAATAAAGAATAAATTAGAAACAATTACAATAATAGAAATAGAGAAAATAAGGAAAGGTCTTCAATAGGAAACTTGCTAAGAAGAGAATTTCCTTTTTGCTCTGATTGATCTCTCTTTGGTAAGAGTTCCCTGTATAGTAACTGGTCCTTCTTTGGCAAGAAAACTAGAGCCTTCTTTGGTAGGAGATCTAAGGCTCTCTTTGGTAAGAGTGTTGGAGCTCTCTTTAGCAGGAAGGCTAGAGCTTTCTTTAGTAAGAGAGGAAGAGCTAGAGCTGGCCGATCTAGGGCTGGCCAGCTCCTCAATACGCCCCCTCAAGCGAAAGTGGGCTGGAAGCACTTGAAGCTTGAATTGAAGCCACTCAAACCGTTGAGACAAAAGTGGCTTAGTGAAAATATTAGCAAGTTGATCCTGTGTGGGAAGGAACCACATGATCAAACACTTCTTAACGATGAGATCCCAAAGGAAATGAAAATCAACCTCAATTTGTTTAGTATGGGCACGAAAAATGGGATGAGATGCAAGATATGTGGCCCTAATATTATCAGAGTAGAGAACTAGTGGAGACTATAATTTGTCCCCCAAATCGGAGAGAAGAGAATTTAGTCACAAGAGTTCGGTGGTGGTATTAGCTAGAGCTCTGAATTCATCCTCTATGCTAGACCAAGCTATTGTAGGTTGCTTCTTAGCTCTCCACAAAGTCAAATGAGAACCAAGAAAAATACCATATCCGCCAGTAGAACGTCTGTCATTGGGGAAACTAGCCCAATCAGCATCGAAGTATGCTATCAACGTGTCCGACGAGTGTGCCGAGAAAATCAAACCAGAGTCAATGGTTCCTTTGAGATACCTTAGATTCCTCTTTACTGCACCCCAGTGTTCATCAGTAGGAGATTGTAAAAACTGACAAACTTTATTCACTGCAAAGGCAACATCAGGTCTTGCCAAAGTGACGTACTGAAGAGCACCTACAATGCTTCGGTACTGAGTGGAATCAGATAGAGGTTCCCTAGTAAATCGAGAGAGTTGGAATGAGGTGGCCATTGAACTAGAAACAGGTTTGGCCGCAGCAAGGTTAATCTTCAATAGATGATCCAAAATATACTTACGCTGAGAAAGGATCAATTCAAATGCATCACGATGAAATTCAATACCAAGGAAGTAGTGCAACGGCCCCAAGTCTTTCAAATCAAAGGTCTGAGATAAATTGCTGATAAGATGAGAAACATGAGCAGAGGAGGATCCAGTAATAAGAATATCATCAACATAAACATGAACGTAAATGGTAATTTTTTCTCGACTGTAAATGAACAAAGAGGGTTTACACTAGGAACCTCGAAAACCGAGGTCATATAGACACTCAACTGGGAAAACCAAGCTCGAGGAGCCTATTTGAGCCCATAGAGGGCCTTATGAAGTTTACAGACATGATGGAGATAATTGTTGTCCTCAAAGCCTTTCGGTTGATGCACAAAAATAGTTTCGGCAATGAAGCCATTAAGAAAGGTATTATGAACATCCAACTGCCAAATGTCCCAACCACAAGAAACTACAAGAGCAAGAATAGTGCACACAGTAGCAGGTTTGACTACAGGACTGAAAGTCTTAGTGAAGTCAACACCTGGAACTTGAGTGAAGCCTTGTGAAACAAGACGGGCTTTGTAGCGATCAATGGAACCGTCAAGGTGCCGTTTGATTTTAAAAACCCACTTGGAGCCAACCACATTCATAGAAGCATCATAGGGAACCAGTTCCCAAGTACCATTCTGAAGGAAGGCATGAAATTTGGCAGTCATGGCAGTCCGCCAGTGAGGAGACTTGGAACCCTGTCTGTAGGAGGAGGGTTCCTCCTCATGAGTATGACCATCATGCAGTAAAGCAACTGGGAGAGGATGGCGAGTGGTAGTTAATGCCTAAGCCGACCTAGACGTCATAGACCTTGTCATCATTGTATGAGTGCGCACTGGAGGGTCTACAACAGGAATTGTGTCCAATAGTTCCTAAATAAGGCGGGTGCACAGAATTGGCAAGGAATCAGCACTGAGAGAAACTTCCTATTCTGGCTCAGAGGAGGAAGTAATAGATGCCTCATTATTAACAAATATAGATGGCAGGGGAGAAGAGGATACCTCAGGATCCGCAGGAACTGGACACGTGTCACCACTAATGGTGCCCAAAGAAGTTAGAAAAACTCCAGTAGGGGTAACAGGGACAAAAGGCAACGATGATTGTGCTGATCCGGGCAAGGAGTGTTCATCGAATACAACATGTCTCGCAATTCTCTCTTTGCTAGTAGCAGGATTGTAACAACGGTACCCTTTGTGACTATTGTTGTAGCCAACAAAGATACAATGAGCAGAACGGAAATCCATCTTGTGTGCATTATATGGCCAAAGAAGAGAGTAACAATTACAACCAAAAACCTTTAGCATAGAATAATGAGGAGGCTTTCCAAATAATTTCTCATAAGGAGAGAGATTACCAAGGCTTGGGGTTGGCAGTTGATTGATGAGGAAGACACCAGTTTCAGCAGCATCTGCCCAGAAGGACTGGGGGAGAGAGGAGGATGCCAATAGAGACAATGTGGACTCAATAACGTGCCGATGTTTTCACACAACACTACCATTCTATTCATGCATATAAGGATAACTAAGGTGGTGAAGAATACTGGCATTATCAACATAACGAGAGAGATTGCAAAATACACCACCCCAATCACTCTGAAACACCTTAATTTTTGTAGAGAAAAGATTTTTCACATGATTCTTAAAGTTAATAAAGGCATTAAACACATCTAACTTCCTTTCAAGAGGAAAAATCCATGAAAATTGAGAATATGCATCCATAAATAGAACATAGTATTTAAAGCCCTTATTGGACAAAGTTGGGTCAGGTCCCCATACATCAGAAAAAACTAGTTTAAGAGGTGCAGAAAAAGTAGTAGTTGAATATGGTAGACTTAAACGATGGGCTTTACCCATTTGGCAAGCTTTACACACAAAAGGACAACTGAAGGATCCAAAATAAGGTAAACCAAACTTAGAAATAATATTTTTCACAACTCAGAGAGATGCATGACCAAGTCGTTGATGCCATTCTGCCACAGAAGTTTTCTCGCCTACAAGAGTTGTCGAGTTCTCTATCTTGTGCTGAACTGCTCCAGGAAACTGATAGTCTGTCTCTACTGGGTCCTCAAAGTAAAACTCTCCCCATATGGTCCTTCAAGACAGAAATTCAGATGAAATTCAAAAATCATATTATTATCCTTGGTAAATCTACTTACAGATAGCAAACTTTTAGTAAGAGAAGGGACATGAAAGATATTCTTCAAGGCAAACTTATTATGTTTGCAAACTAGAGATGTTGACCCTGTATTATTCGTAGTCAAACTTGTTCCATTACCGATCTTGACTTGATCAAAACCTTGGTATTCAGTCCGGACTTGTAGATTATCGGCATCCGGTGTCCGGTGATGAGTGGCGCCACTATCTGGATGCCAGAATGGATCAAATCCGGTTCTAGACGTAGAGTCATTGTGTGAGATGCCATTGTGAAAGGTTGTAGGATCTGCTAGATGCATAGTGTTTTCTCCCTAATACGGGAGATCAAATCTTTTGTAACACTTCAATGTTCCATGTCCTAGTTTGTTACAAAGTTGACAAATAATACTATTTCCTTTTCCATGACCTTGTCCACGGCCTGAGGGCTGACCACCACACCCCTTGCCTCTACCACGATAGTTGCCACCCCTGCCTTGATTGTAAGAACTCTGATTGGGCTGGAAATTGTTAATCAAATTTTTATTATTATTCATTGCAAGATTTGCATTAGGATTTTCACTAGAAAATTTGTGTTATAAAAGATAGGCTTCATCACTCAAAAGTAATTCAAGAACATCACTAATATTGAGCTTATCTGCATCAACTCGATTCGTAATAGCTATAATAAGGGATTCATACTCACTACCCAAGTCGGATAGGATGTATAAAACCATATCTGCTTTTGCTACTGGTTTTGAAACTACAGAAAGATTATCTGCAATTGTTTTGGCTTTCTGAACATAATCACAGATGGACAAGTTCCCTTTCTTGAGGTTTTGAAGTTGGCGTCTGAGTTGAAGTACTCTGGATCGAGAATGAGAAGAGAAAGATTTCTCTAGAGCATTCCAGACTTCAGCGGTTGTAGAGAGTCCAACGACTTGTGCTAGGACTTACTGATATCAATAAGATTTGGAATCACTTCTGAGGGAGGCTTGGCCGATTCATCAATGAGCCCCATCAACTTGTGTGCTCAAAGTATTAGAAGAAATTGAGCTTTCCAAAGAAGAAAATTTTCACCATTGAGTTTGATTGTCAAATACTGTGAAATATTAGGAATAGAACTTATGTTCATTGGTAGGGAAGAATTCTGGGAAGAGGTTGAGCTCAAGCTCATTATCTCAGACACAATGGGGGTGTTGTAGGCCATGGCTCTGATACCAAGTTAAAGCTTGAAAAACAAAGATTAAAAGAATGGGTCGAATTTCACTATGATGAATAATTGTACATGGCTAAATATTTATATAGAAATAATAAAGAATAAATTAGAAACAATTACAAGAACAGAAATAGAGAAATAAGGAAAGGTCTTCAGTAGGAAACTTGCTAAGAAGAAAATTTCCTTTTTACTTTGATCTCTCTTTAGTAAGAATCCTTTGTATAGTAACTGGTCCTTCTTTGGTAGGAAGACTAGAGCCTTTTTGGTAAGAGATCTGAGGCTCTCTTTGGTAATAGTGTTGGAGCTCTCTTTAGCAGAAAGGCTAGAGCTTTCTTTGATAAGAGGGGAAGATCTAGAGCTGGTCGACCTAGGGTTGGCTAGCTCCTCAATAACACCTAGGCCCGGTGTTCTGCACCAGCTCTATCTAACGGCTTTAATTCCAAATTAATTAATCTGTCCCGATCAGGGAGTGTTGCAATAAGAGATTTTGAAGGCGACAATATTATAGCAAAACCAGTCCATGCACAAGGTTGCTACATGGTTCGATATATATCTTCTCCACTTGACGTCAGGCAGGCTCTCAGTTGAGTTGAGATATGATATCGCCATGACTACTGTTCAACTACTGTTCTGGGGTCCGGCGTTTCACTACTGCAAAAGTGAAAAGTGCGCTATTACGTCGGTCCCATATTTAGTCTGGTCAGTGGTGGTGAGACGGGCAATTCGTCCAGCAAGTTGTTTATTATTTGGTAGACTGGAGCTGGACCAACTCGATTGATCTGCCCATCTGGGTTTAGGCCCATGTGCTGTGCCTCAATTCAAACCACACGGACAAATGGGCTTCCCACAAGGAACATTTGGAAACGACAAGGAACATTTTCGCTTTTTATCTGTAGAAGAGTACACTCCAGGGAATTCTTGATTAACTCGAAACGAGAACACCCCAGAGTAGTTCATCATCATCTAGTGCCAACCCAACCAGTGTTCAGATAACCACTACAGTCTACACCAGCTAGCTAGGCAAGTGGGGAGCGATTGGCTTCCAAGGTTCAATTCCACCCCATGTATCTGCTGACTGCTGTTGATCCAAACACAAGTTTGATGTCTCAAATCTCAATACAACATTGTTCAACCAGAATGTTGAGAAACTGTCGTCATGTCCAAACACTCGAAAAACTAGCTTCAATATTCACAATTTCGGACGTACGTAGGACTATCCAATAATAAGGCCAAGTGAACTATTCTGTGCCACAACTGAACTAAGCACCAAATATGAGAAAAATCCAACTTCTACCAAATGAACATAGGCAAGTACAGTACTACCAAGATACTCGTTATCAGATAAGGAGATACAAATCAATATATATTCAAAGATTAAATCAAGTGTCCTGAATTGAATTGGGCTGTACACGAGTAGGGATGCATCTCAACGGGTCGGGTTTGGCACGGATTTGCTTCAACTCTAATCCAATCCCACCTGACTTAAAAATGAATGATTTTCAAATCCGATCCAACTGTATAGGGTCTAACCCGATATCAATCTGACCTGACTTGTAGAATTTCAACTGTACTTTCTTAACACATTTTGAAGACCTAAAATCCAGTTAGGAAATTGTCTTATGGATTTTAAGGTGTCATTTTTTCATTAAAAAAATAAAGAAAATCAAAATTAATATATAAATAAATATTAAACTTCAAAGCTATATAGTTAGAAGTCAAAAGTTACAAGAATACTTTGTATATATGCAGGATATCATGACCTGACGGGCGTGTCAGTCAAAACTCAAATCCGATTCAGATTGAATAATCAAAACCCTAACCTGATCCTATAGGGTCGGGTCAAGCCGGGTTTGCTATTTAACATGACCCATTAACATCCTCATACATGAGTCCGGATCTGCTCCTCACACCAACTTTAAAACACGTCCCAACTTTACAACAAGTTGGGCATCTCTTCCAATTCCAACTGGTACATTGGCAAATTGGATTTGGTCCTCACAGAATCGTCTTCACAGCCCTTTGCAGCTGTGCATAGGAAATTTTTCTGTACTTATATGTTTTTATTCACAGGAAGATATTCCCAATGTAGTGCTGCAAGGGGCTGTGAAGGCGGTTTTGAAAGGACCAAATCTGAATCCATGCAGTGGGAGGCAAATTCCGGATTCAAGCGTTTTATACCGAAAAAGTAAAAGCATAAACAGATAAACCACAAACAGACATACCCTTTGCATGTCTTCATAGTTGATACTGACCCTACAACCGGAGATGCTATTTGCATAGAAAATATGAACAAGGAAATTATAGGGGAAAAATAGAACTATAGATAGTTATAGTATATACAAAATAAAAGATCCTTCTTTTGAGGGGGAGAAAAAATAGAAGAAAATAAAACACAGAAAAGGAAAGGAGAGGAGTGCTAGAATCTGAAAGTAAGGTAGCTCTCAGTCACAAATAGAAAAGTTCAGGGATCCAAGTGTCACTACCCCAAAGTACAGGGTACTAGGGTAGTTCCATGTAATCTACCCTTACTTTTATGCCAATCCGAAGGCTATCCTCTCCCCTCTACAATTTTTATGTAAATTTTAAAATGCACTAAATGGCATTCTAATTTCTAACAAGAATGCAGATTTTCTGCACTCTGTTTGGTGTGTGCTGGGGTTCCAATCAGATTGAAGCACTTCATAGTTGTCACCCCTGCTCACATGTGCGGGAACACTAAAGGTAGGTTTTTCTCATTATTTTTTTTTTGTTTCTGATCTTTTGTAACTAAAAAAAAAGAAAATAGTGAAAAAAGGAAAAATTGACCACATGATTCAAAGAGTTAGGAGTGTGACAACAAAAAAAGGAAAACACTTGCAGATGCCATTAACAAGTGATTGCAGACCACTTTTTCTTCAAGCTTCAGCCTGATTTGCAAGAAATATTTTTTATTGCTTCACCGTTTTTTCTTCTTTTTCTTTTTATTTGGATACCATTGACAAGTGATTGCACACCTCTCTTTTTTCTCTAAGTGAAGCTACAAAAGAGTCCTATGCAACGTAGTACTCTTTGCAGCGACTTAAGCGCAGATTTGCTGACCACAAAACACTACCCACAACAATGTGTATATAATTGCAACAAAAAATAAATAAAATAATGTGTATATAATACCATAGACAATGAATAACACAAGAAGTGTTTCCATAGTGCAGCTGTAGATGTTGTGTAGACAGGTTTTGTGGTCAGTAGATCCGGGTTCAAACCAGACAGCAAGAGTTTCCACTGTATTGTTTGGTTTCTCCTAACTATCGAACGGGCAGTCTGGGTAGTCCCAGAAGTGATGCGATTTGAAGCTCCACTACCACCATATTTTTTAGAAGAGTTTTTAGATTGTTGCCAAAAAACAGTAAAAATGAAATACGGCCTCTATGGGGGCAAAAAGGTTATGGTTAAATACCAAAAAACACTGTGGAATGGGCAATCATCACGTTTTCTTTCTTTTTTTTATTTCAAAAAATAAAATATAAGAAAATAATGGGACATAGTTAGGCTGCATATGGCTTTATATAAGAAAATAATAGGGGCATTTTAACTGCATAAAGGAGATAAGTCCTTGAAATAACGAATGCCAAATGCAGCCTTAATAACTTATCATTTAGGTTGCGTTTGGAAGTGGTTTAAAATGTCATCGACCGAACTATGGAGAATAGAAAAACATGCTTATTGATGTAGCTTTTACATCGGTAACCGATGTAAACCTCATCATAAGTGACTTTTTACATTGATTTACGATGTAAAACACCACTCCATCCAAATGCCGATAAATCTGAACTGAAGTAAAGTTTTAAATCGATGTTGATTTGCACTCCAAACAAACACCAACAAAACTAAACTGGTGGTGAGGTTTTACACTTCTTCCAAATGCAGCTTAGGCTCAATTTGGAAATAGTACAAATACAAATATGTATGATGCAAATACATACAAAACATAAGATTTTGCACTCTACATCTTTGTATTTGTACTCCTTCCGAACTAAGCTGTAGTGTTTCTACTCATGTGAGCAGGGGGGGCACCATGTGGACCAATGTTTTTGAATTGCTGTTGATCTGGACGGTCGGACCGTTCGGCCCAAGAACCATTCAGGCAACCGGTTCTATTTTACCGCAAACCCAGTCTCTGACCAAAAATCATTGAATTGGTCAATGAACCGCTGACCCAGGCGATTAATCCATTGAATGGTTTTGGCCATTTAATTTTAATAATTTTTTTTCATTGGTACGGGCCATCATCCACAAACCAGTGGTCAAAATAGTTCTGATTCCAGATCAGTTTTTAAAACATTGATGTGAAGTATAGTCTTATTGGAAGAACACCCAGGCACACAGTACACACCAAACCAGGTGCAGGAAATCTGGACACTGGGTAAATAATGGGCCTGGATACTGGGTTAGTGGATTGGCCCTAAATGTGGCGAAACCTGCCCAAGGTGCATCCATTGACCCAGGACCACTATCGGGGACACAAACACGACGTCAGTCTCCCACCATAAGAAAGATGAGGTTCTATGAATCTGAATTAGAAAGAGGCATATAGATGAGTGTAAAAATAAATAGCAATATCTCGATACTGATTCGTGGGGGAACAAAATGTTTATAACATGAAGAAGAATGAAGTATATAGTCATGGTTTAAATGGTGTCCTCTGTTAACACAGTGGTGGCAGTCTTCAAATCAAGGAAAGATCCCATGGGAATATGTAATTGACAAGTAGAAATAAGGCAAACTTACCTTTGTAGAGAACTAAATGGTATCGTTGACTGACAACTTCCTTGACTGTTTTAGCTTCGTACTTCAAAAATCTGCATAGTCAACAACAACAACAAGGTCAACTGGTTTCCTTTATTTTCATTCATTTTGCTGATGTAAATTTTTTGTATGGGTTTTATGGGTCTAAAAATTGCACGCCAAAGGGGGGTGGGGGGTACAAAAGAACTATAGAAATGCAAATTTGTACCACAAGACAGGGAAAAGGCTCACATCAAAGAAACGGCTACAAATCAATAATAGATAGAGATACGAATTTTAATTTGCAATCGGAGTCGGTAATTAAAGTTTGTGTGTGGGGTCACACTAGCAGTAGCTGTGTGCCTGTGTCCTACACAAACAAAGGGGATTAATATTAATGCGCACTTGGGCAAAGAGTTGGTTGTGTGATCAATTCATGATTCCTGATGGAAGAGAAAAAAAAAAGCCCATGATCCCGGCGTGACCATTAAAAGGGCAGTTGCCTTTTTAGAGTTTGGCAGGTAGTGTTTATCAAGAGGGAATCTCTACAGCTAAAAGAGCCGGAGCCGGGGGAGGACCCGACCCAACCCAAGAAATGACTCAACTCAACCATTTGATAATATAGGTCTCCTGAAAGCATTTGGTAATACCCAAAACCCAAACATGAACCAAGTAACGACAGGATTGGTTTGGGCCTTTTGGGGTTGTCACAACTCACAACTCAAAAGATGAAACATAACTCTCGACTCCTATCCGTTCCTACCACCACATAAAAGCTGCCCCCGGTGCTCCGTATAATGTCAAGGTTAAGGTTTTGAGGAGGACATGTACAAATCGGACATCATCCCTCTTTCCCTTCCCCCTCTTAACAAGAGGATGACAATGTAAGACAATACTCATCTCTTAATGGGGTGGGGAGAATGACTATTCAGCCCATCTCATAATTTTTACTCTTATTGTACAGGTGGGATGAATCTTGATCGTAGGTTGATATCAAATCTGCAGATAGGATGCAATTTATAGGAGGAAGAGACTATTAGTAAACTATGGGAGGCTTCAATTTCAGAATTCTGTGGTGGAATTCACCCCAAAACAACTAGGGACGGGATGATAAGATGGGATTGGGCGCAGGGGGTGGGGGCTCCCATCACAATTCACAATCCACGGTTTGCTCTGTTAATTAGCCACGTCACTTATTATCATATTACACATTCCACTACTAGGCAGCGAGCAGTTCTCTTGTCAGAAATGACGAATACCTACTTTGGTTTTTTGTGGCCCCTGTTTATCTGCCCTAGTGTATCGGCTTGTGCTTAAATAAATTAGCCACGTCACTATGCATCCCTAACATAACCATAACAATACATACATATGGTCCTGATTGCAATGGAAAAAAAAGTAATAAAATATTAAAACACTTCAAATGACTGTTCATCAGCAAATGTATGGCATAATCCCTTTTCTGGAGAAACATCAGCAGTGGTGTCACGACATCAAAAACCCCCCTACATCCATTCTGATGACTTGACAACTCTGTTCCTAATTCAGTACAGTAACCACTGTTTGGTGTTTGGTGAGTTGGACGAGGTTTACGATGCGCACCGAATTTTAAGCTAAATCCTCTCACAGACTCACACCGTCGCACTCGCACGTGATTTTCCTAAACTCTCGTCTCGTGTTGACGTGTAGTACAGCTAGCTCATCTCACCTTCTAAATAAAGCCAAGCCCTATCCAACTCTTACACGTATTTTGTTGTGAGCAGATCCCATCCCGGCTCCAAGTCTCCAACAAATGCGTACACCCCTGCACCACTCGCTAAGACGCTTACCACACTACAAAAGTACCAAACACATCCTTCACAGTACATTACACAATCAAGCTGGAGTCGAAGCATCACTATGTCTATTTGTTCAATTTTCAATATGCATTGCAAATTGTAACGTAATAATAATATTAATAAAACAAAATTTATTTGTTTGTTTTTTAGTACTGTGCCCTCCTTTTCTTTTCTTCTCTTTTTCCTTCCCAAAAATATATAAAAATCAACAATTACAAACCTAATCAAACTAGTAAATTTAGCCATTTGAGAGAGAGAGTAACCAAACAACAAAAAAGGTTAGAATTTTCCTCCTCTAATAATAACAATAATAATTATATTACTTCCTTCAACGCCAAGCAGACGCGACGGTCAGCACCCGATCCATCCAACCAAAGCACATCCCTCCGCCCTCTTCTTTAATAGTGAATCCTGGGTTATTCCGGTACCCCGAGTTGAGCCGACTCCGCATTGACTCGGATACTTGTTGACCCAGTGACCACGCCTCAAACCCGGCCATTCTCATCCTCGCACGCCACTTCCCCAACACCTCACACCGCTCTATCCTTTCCCATCCCTCGCATGCCACCATATTTGCAGCTTTCCTACCCAAACACTCCTCCACTTTCACCCGCTTCGCTGAGTCCCGGGGCATGGTCGCGTCTAGCGAGTCAAACACAGCCCGGTAGTACGCGCAGACCTCCCCCACTCGTCCCACGAACGGCGCCGTGTTGGCGTTCATCTCTTGCTCCACCACCGTCACCACCCGTGGACCCAACTCCTTCACCACCCTAAGCAATTGGTCCCTTGGGTTCTCCGTTGACACGCTCTCGTCAGGCATTCTGTAGAGCCTGAACGCAAAATTCACAGCCAGTGCCTCCTCATCGTTGCACCCCAGCGTCTCCCTGTTCAGATCACGTATTTTCCGGCTTACCACGTTGAACTTTAGGCCCACTCCAAATCGCTCCGCATGTTTCCTCAGCCGATCCCCCACTACACGTAACCCGTCTGTTTCTCCGTTGCTGGGTTCCGCAACAGCGGTGATCTTCACGGAGGTTGGCTCTCCGTGCTGTCGGTCCGCAAGCGCGTGAATAAGGCTCATATACTGGCTTCCTTGGCTGATATCAAAATCCACCACATGGACATTGTTGGGTTGGTCCCTCGTGGCTTCAAGAATTGCCAGATTAGCAGCCGTGAATCCAAGCTTAAAACAGGGGGATCCCTCGTATAGCATCCGCGTCGCCATCATGTGCTCATCACTGAACAGCTCCATCACCGGAGGAGGATTCTCGGTTGGGTTCATGCGGGACCGGAGAGCAGATACCATATACGCCGTCAATCTCTGTTCTGGATCGCCTTGCACGTTGGATACCTGATTCAGGCGGGCTAGAGTCGTCGTAGCGGCGTCCATGTTTCCTTCGGCGATGGCCGCTGCAGCGTCTAGCAAAGACTGCTTCGAAGAACTGGAGCAAGAGGATGGAGAAGCCGAAGACGAGGACGACGAAGAGGTTGGAGAGGGCGAGAGAGGCTTCTGATTTTGGATCAGGCCCTGGATAGTTTCACTCCACCCACTGCTAGTGATCACCGAAGCCGCGTCTCCTTCGTCTTCGTCGTTGTCATCCAAGAGCTGTTTCTCTAGTTCTTGAAGCCGGCTTCTCATCTTGTCCGAGTCTGGCTCCGATTCAAGAGGCACAACTCGGTTTGCAACAGAATTGGAGAAAGAAATCCCAGACAAAGCAGAGTTGGTACAAGAAGGGCTGTTGCTCTGAGTATGGTTGATAGGGTTAAACGGTTGAGGCCGAAGCTGTGGAAGATGGGGGAGTCCGAAACTTTTCGTCAAAGTGGATGTCCCGGACACCTCCGATGAGGGGAAATCAACAGGAGATAAGGGAGAAATCGGAGAGTTGTGGTGGTAAGTCCTCGGTTTAACAGACCTCGCAAAGAAGCCGGAACCAACGAGTTGTTGTTGATGTTGCTGCTGATGTTGCTGCAGTAGCAGTTGCTGCTGATGCCGAAGAAGCTGCTGTCGTTCTAGTTCCGCTAGGGAACGTTTGCCGACTAGTTCGGTTCGTCGAGGAAGGATCGTCGGGGAAGAACTATCGACATGAAATTGTGACCTGTATTGAAGTTGTCCATTATCGTTTGACGCCGCCGATCCGCCGCTGATTCCCATGGAGCTATAGAAATCAGCGCTCCCGGAGAACCTAGACGTCATAGTTGGTGAAAGAACAAAAACAATTGGAAGAGAAAATTGGATTTTTAGCAAAGGGGAGGATCGATTTTTAAGCAAACCATGCTCTTCAATGGCATCAGAGAACAAAACCCATTAACACAGAATAATTACCCATTTAGAACATGGATTTCCGTTTCTCGGGGACCCTCTCTCTCTCTGTGTCCCGTGTCTCTCCTCCTCCCTCATCTGGTTTGATTTCGTGGATCGTTTTATTATATTGTTGTTATTCTCTCTCTCTCTCTCTCTCTATCTCTCTTTCTCATATACACACGTATGGTGCCGTAGCTTTCTTGTAAACTGTCGATTCCCGGTTATTTTCGTGCGGTTTCACCTCCATCCGTCGGTCTTTTTTCGTTTACGTCCAGCCTCAGGATTTCAAAACCGGAAAAGGATTCAGAAATCCGTCTACGGGGGCCGGGTGGCGGAGTCCCCACCTTTGAAAAAAAAATGGAAGAGTAAAGCGTTCCCACCTTTTTCTAAATTCCGGAGGAGGAATTGTTATGTCATAAATGAGGCTCAGTTTCTGCAAATTAACCTTTATGGTCGCTTCGCTACCGTCGAAAGCCATTAAAAAAATCTGATCGTATTCTCTCCTTTTTATTATAAGTTATTAATTTATTTATTAGACAGAGATAAGATTAGATTAGATTATATAGAATATGGAATTAGTGGAGTGACTAAAATGCCATCTGGCTACTAACAATCAGATGTTTGTCCGCCAGGACCACACCGTCGTCACTCGTCACCCACCATCTGATTCGGGGTTTGACTCGGTTGAGTTGTTGATCCTCTCTACGGAAAGAACGTGTCAAAGATCAAAGTCATCAAACCCCTGTGAGGGGGTGGGGGCTGGTGTTGCAGAGCCTAACTTGAATGTCAGACCGACCCCCCACTAAATATAAATTTTCTTTTTTGCTGGGGGTAGGAAATGAGTTTGGTTGGGTTAAGACGAACCAAGAACCGAAGTTGGAGTGTAGCTGGATTCATCATTCCAATATTGGTTGATAAGCGGTGATCCCATCACGAAACGTCCAATTTAAATACTTGTCCATTGGTTGATGCCTCGCCAGATCGCCTGTAAAATTAATTAAAGCATGTAGATGGTAAACTGAGGAAGTCATTAATAATAAAGCTGGGTGAGGTTGACCGTGTCAAATTGGAGGTAGAATACGTGTAATTCCATGGGTACAATTGTCATCGAAGCAGATGTACTCGGTTGCGTGCCGGAATTATTATAGGAAGGGAATTGGTTAGCAACCGGACCATTCGCCCACCTACGGTCTAAAGCTCCATGCCAGTTGGGCTTCAGTCAGGGCAAAGCCCGTTCGAGCAGCCTTTATTGTCTTGCATTTCCCTGTACTCGTCTGCTTTATTTTAAGTGAATATATTCACGATGCAAGTTTTGTAAAAGGCAGTTATAACGGTGTGGGCACTGATAGAAGTCGATCTTAGCTCATGGCGAGTCGATGGATGGTACAAGTGGACTTATCTTAATAATAATAAATAGAAATTATTTAAAACTTATCATAACATTTTAGCATTTCTCTTATTAAATTCACCATAACTTTTCAAAAGGTCCAGGAACCGTGTAGAATTGATTTTGTATAAAAGTAATTTTTTAAAAGTGTTTTTGTAAAAGTATTTTTATAAAAGTATTTTTATAAAAATGTTTTTGTAAAAGTATTTTTATAAAAGTGTTTTTGTAAAAGTGCTTTTATAAAAGTACTTTCGTATAAGTGTTTTTATAAAAGTACTTTCAAAAAGAACTTCGAAAAAGTGCTTTTGTAAAAGTATTTTTATAAAAGTACTTCTGTAAAAGTGCTTTCATAAAAGTATTGTAAAAGTGCTTTCATGTAAAAGTGCTTTCATAAAAGTACTTTTAGAGTGATTTTGTAAAAGTGCTTTTATAAATCTTCTGTAAATGTGCTTTCATAAAAATGCTTTTGTAAAAATATTTTTATAAAAGTGCTTTCGTAGTATTTTTATAAAAATGTTTTTCGTAAAAGTGATTTCATAAAAATACTTTCATAAAAGTGGCTTTATGCTGTTTTCAGTTTTGATTGATTTCAAATTGGACAACGATTTGCTCGCATGATCAGATTATTGGAAATTTGGTTTAGGTTTAATTCAAACCAATAAATATGGACTAATTTATTTTGGATTGGCCCAATCCAATAATTATAATGGATCGTCCAGATCCGATTTGATAAGGTTTTGATCGGATTGGATCCAAACCAAAACTAGTCGATTGACACCCCTACCTTGAAGCACCTCTAGGTTATGTTTGGTTTGAAAGAAAATGTAGGGAAAGGAAGGGAAAGGTAGGCTATGTTTAGTGTTCATTGATAGAAATTGTCTACATCGGTATAAATACAATTTATATAACCAAACTGCCCCTGAATGATATCTCAGCCTTATTAAATATATTTTTGTCAGCTAAATTTTTATTTAATAACCAAACAAAGGCATCTGCGGTAACCACCTTGGCAGCCGAGCCCTAGCCCAACAAATACTAAGGCAGGGATACTTTTGGTCGACTCTTCACAAGGATGCAGCTGAGCTGGTACGAAGGTGCGATCAATGTCAAAGACATGCTAACCTCTGCCATCAACTAGCCACAACCCTCTCGGCTCTCAACAGCCCTTGGCCCTTCACTAAGTGGGGAATGGACCTCCTCGGCCCTTTCCCTCAAGAAACAGGGGACAAGAAACACATCATCGTCGCTGTGGACTACTTCACCAAGTGGATAGAGGTCGAACCCTTAGCCACCATTACAGCTCGAGCAATCCAGAGCTTCTTTTGGAAAAGCACCATTTGTCGCTTTGGCCTCCCCCACATTCTTGTCACCGACAACGGGAAGCAATTCGACGATGCTAAATTTCAAGAATGGTGTGCCTCCCTCAACATTAAACAGTAGTACACCTCGGTGGGCTACTTCTAGACGAATGGCCCAGCTAAGGTCACAAACAGAACCATCTTGGAAAGACTGAAGACTAGGTTGGACCAAGCCAAAGGCTTGTGGGATGACAAACTACACAACGTTCTCTGGATCAAGCCACACATCGGACGACCACGAGAGAGACTCCGTTCGTCCTAACCCACGGTACGGAAGCAATAATTCCAACAGAAATCGGCCAACCAACACTTCGGATCAAAGTGTACGACGAGGCCGAGAACAGTGAAGCGCTTGGAGCAAACATAGACCTACTAGAAGAAGCCCGAGAGCAAGCACAAATCAGGGTGGTAGCCTACCAGCAACGAGTGGCCCGCAACTACAACTCCAAGGTGAAAGAAAGGCATTACCAAGAAGGAGGCCTCGTCCTCAGGAAGGTCATGGTCCTCGAACCTGGAGTAAGAAAGTCGGGCCCCAACTAGGAAGACCCCTATAGGATTAGGCAAGTCGTCGGCCCCAACACCTTTCGTTTGGAAAACTTAGATGGAAGACCCGTCCCTCGGATGTGGAACTCGGAGAACCTCTAGATGTATTATAGATGAATGCAATCTAATGAAATAATGAATGAATGAAGCAAAGTTCCTCTTTGGCTCAATTCTTAGCGTGTGTTCCCACCAGGTCTCTAAGACTCCTCAGCTTCGCGATTGCCCGAGGTGCATGGCCTTTCTAGAGGATCGTGCCCTCTTGTCGGACCATCACCAAGGCATATTGCTAATAGCGAACACCCTAACTAAAACCCTCGCCAAACTATACCAGGATGGTTGTGGCCTCGCATGCCTCACCACTCGCCTTAGCAGCAACTGGCCTCTTGGTCTTCTACACTTAGCGCCATTAGCTAAAGACGGAAACCCTGACCAACTCGGCAGTTCGCCTTGGCCCGAGACCCAGACCTCTTCAAAGAGTTACCTCGGCCTCGTCAAAGCAACCACCTGGAGAGGAGAGAGCCAAGCGAGCCTCAGCTCTGCCTTGCCCCCCCCTCTCAGTTCGATAGGCCATCTCGAGTTTGCCTAAGCAACCACGAGAGGAAGGGAGCTAGAAGAGCTTTGGCTCTGCCTCGGCCTCTTCCCCATGTTTCAGTTGGCCACCTTGGCCTTGCCTAAGCAGACACTTAGAAGGAACTAGGCCAGGTAAGCCGCACTTCGGGCACACAACTGCACCTCTGCCTCCCCTTCCTACCAACCTAAGGCGTGCGTGTAACAAGCCAATATGAGCTATTTTTTGTGTGTGCACTATAGTCTCATCGTTGGGAGGGGTAGGGGCCCCTCGGTAAAAGAAAAAGAAAAGAAGAAGAAAGGGAGAACACAATGCACAGAACAAAAGGAGCACAATGTACAAAAAGAATGCATGCATGATTTTTTCATTAGCTTCAAGTATTGATCCTTTACAATAAGTTTTGCCGCCTCTTAGGCTGAATTGAACGAAGGCACGAGAAATTCGATGCCACTACAGGGTACCCCTTACTCGTCGGGCTCACTAGCGCCCACCATCGCTACTCCCCTTGGTCGAAGCCAAAGTCTTCGCCTCGGCCTCAGGAGTGGGGGGTAAGTGATGTAGGGCAACCTGGCCCAGCCCATTACGGGCTGGAGGACCCAGCCCATGGACGCCAGCCAGGGTCCTGATCCAGCATGGCGGGGGCTACCCTGCTCCCCTCATACAAAGCCAATAGCGGAGCGCCCCAGCGTCCCCACTTCTCCCGCTGACCGCCCTCGTACGGAGCTCATCGGGGGCGTCCATCTCCACAACCTCCAAGCAGTTCAAGTATAAATACGGGATAACCCCCTCTAGGTAGAGGATTTCCAAACACTAGCTCTAACTAAAAGCTCAAGTGAAGGGCCTTTCCTCCTGGGAGCCTAGTGCATATGAGCACCCTCCTCAAAGCCCTCGTCTGCACCAAATCCCTCTCTTCTTCAACCCACGTACTAACTTGACCGTCGGAGCCTCTGCCTTGGGTTCTCACCCGGGGCCTCTAACATCTATTATCTTGTAGGACCTCAGACTACCAGGGACTTCACCACTTAACCACTAGCCCTTGGCTATAAGCCATCGGCTTCTTCAATACTCAGAGATGATCCTTCTTGACCTACGCGTCTCGGTCTCGACACACCTCCTCTGAACCCCTCAAAGCCTTCGACCAGCCTTCAAAGCTCAAGAGTGTTTTTACCTTATTGCCCTCGGCTAATCCGGGTAAAAACAGTAATCTGCACCAACATCCGTTAATTTATCGGATTTTTTGTAAATTTTGAAACATCATAGTTAGTTTAAGAGAAATTCTAAAAAATAATGATGAGTTTTATTTTAGACAGTTTTCTTAATTAATAAAAATAGTAACAGTTGAGAGACGGGGTGAAAGATATTTTTTTGTCAATTTGCACATCTGGAAAAGGGGATTCGCGTGGATATTTCTTCGCATTGCATGTGCCGTTGAGACTTCCTTCTTTCGTTAAATATGAAAAGCCGTCATATATGCTTGGTGCTTA